CATTTAAAAGCATTAGGTTCAGCACTGGGAAAGCTCGCTGAGAAAGCCGCGGCCGCACTTCCCGGTAAAATAGGGAGTATAGTTTCCTGGCTATTGAATTTATTAGCTAAGACCACCACTTGGCTTAGTCAAAACTTGTGGGGGTTGATCGTAGCAATTGCAGGGCTGTTGTACGTATTCGCTAAGAACTATTTAACCACCAAATCATGAGTAAGCCAACCGAGACTCCACCCACTACAAGCGCGGTTTTTTCATCGATATGTTGTTGATTTTTAGCTGCAATATGTGGTGGCACTTGTGCGTGAGTAGATGTTTGTGAAACATGTGGTGTTTGCGGCTTGACTATTCCCTTTTCACCCGTGATCGTTCGAGTTATTAATTCGACGTTCATATCTGAATTTATACCTGGTTTTTGTTGATCGGTAGCGATAACGATTTTATTATTATAACCTATCACTTGACCGATCTTAAGTTCCATATTACTCGGAGACATGTATAGTCCCAGCGCATAAACGTAGTCCACTTTGGATAGACCGTACTGTAATGCATCTTGAAAACGCTTTATAGACGATGGTATGTCAACTGGTGAATTAATGGCGTCCTCCACGTTTGCGACAAACTGTTTTTGCGCACCGAACGCCGTCCCAGTACCGATAATGGACGTTCGTGTTTGCGATTGCGCTCCGAGAATTGCCCATACATAAGTTCTTATCGATTCATTAACTCTTTCAAATCCTGGGTTAGCAATATTTTTTTCCGTTTTATCATTAAGAAATTCATTCCAAGCGTCTGTTGTATCGTTTGGATGCACAAACTTTGTTATAATATAAGGAATGCCACTCTCAAAGTTCATACGATCTGCTCTAAACTGTTTACTCGAGAGAGCAAAGCCTGAAGGGATCACACCCTCTTTAATTAAATAATCGCTTTTATCTTTAATAGTTCTTTGTCCATTGTACGGAATACCTAGACCATGGCTAGGTCCTTTAATGTGCCAATCTTTACTCGTAGAAACATTAAATTCATTACAAATACGTTCGAAGGCCCTCTTATTATAATGATTATTTGCATGATTCCATGCTGGATCAAGCGGTAATGGAACACTAATTTCTTTAAGTATACGTCTAATCTGATAGTACACGTGAAATAATATAACAGACTTGGGGCATTAACAGATACACCACATCCCGTTGTGGCACACCATACGGCAAAGTTTAACTGATTCTGCCAAAATTGCATCGGACGGTTAAACCAATCGTCCACCATTGTATCGTTAGTTGCCGTGAAACTGTATTTTTCAAAGATATCGTGGAATTTAACGGTAAACTCAGCACCGGAGGCAGTTACTATAATCGATTGATTAGTAATGTAAGTTGATTTCATATTTAAGTTATGATATAGTATCATTGTATATTTAATATGTATGTTACACTCCCTGGAATAACAAATGGTCAGTCTATTGAACTGCTTCATACTATCGATAACTCGGATGGACAACTCGAAGTAGCCCTATGCGATATAACGTATTACCCGCTGTGGACCAATATAAGTGCTGCAAAAGATAATAATAGTATGTATTTATCAAGTGAAAAAAAATCCATTACTATACCTGATGGGTATTACAGCGTATGCTCACTCAATGATGAAATTTTTAAGCCTAATGGAATGAGTCTCACACAAAATGAGTCGAATGGGACAGTGAAATTCGACTCTGGAGAAAAGGTGCAATTTTTTACTTTAACTTACCAGTTACACTTGGATTTACACTCCCCGCACTTATAGAAGACATAATAACACATGGAGATATATTACCCAATCTAGTTCCCTATAAAGAGTTGTGTATCCATCTTGATCAAATCAGTACGACGGATAATATTCAACAAGAAAGTCCTTCAACTCTGCTCAGAAGTGTTCCAGTGAAAAATGAAAAATACAATAGTGGTAGAACGGAATCTTTCTCAACATTACAATATAAAAAATTAAAGCGGGGTATTATTTCAGACCTCAAAATGTCTGTATTAGATGTAAAACACCAACCTGTACATATAGGATACTTAAGTGTAACACTCCATATCATAAATAATGGTTGATTCCATATTTAAGTTATGATATAGTATCATTGTATATTTGATATGTATGTTACACTCCTGGGAATAACAAATAGTCAGTCTATTCAACTGCTTCGTACTATCGATAACTCGGATGGACAACTCGAAGTCGCTCTATGCGATGTAACATATTACCCGAGGTGGACCAATATAAATGCTGCAAAAGATAATAATAGGATAATGCTAGTATCCCCACGTGGTAATGTCAAATCCATTACTATACCTGATGGGTATTACAGCGTAAGCTCACTCAATGATGAAATTTTTAAGCCTTTGGGATCTAGTCTCACACAAAATGAGTCGAATGGGATACTGAAATTAGACACTGGAGAAAAAGGTATATTTATTCATGAGAACTTATCAGATAAACTTGGATTTGCACGAGCACTAATTGGTGAATACGGATATATGGAGTTATTCAAGGCAACATCTTATGGATCTAAATTACCTGATTTAGTTCCCTATAAAGAGTTGTTCATCCATCTTGATCAAATAAGCACGACGAATAATATTCAACTAGAAAGTCCTTCAACTCTACTCAGATCTGTTCCAGTGAAAAATGAAAAATATAATAGCGGTAGAACGGAATCTTTCTCGTCATTACAATATAAAAAATTGAAGCGTGGTATTATTTCAGACCTCAAAATTTCTGTATTAGATGTAAAACATCAACCTGTACATATAGGATACTTAAGTGTAACACTCCATATTAAAAATAATGGTTGATGCATCAGGCCCTGGAACGCTCAGACAATGTAATACAATTGCGCTTTCCGATCTCGGAGACACAGAAGGATTTGATAAACCCGGTTACAATGGTAAGTTATACGCTTTACACTTACACGATAATGTATACAAGCGGAAAGAAGTCACATTCACGGGTAATCTAGAAGATTTAAGCAATGTCGACGTTAGTAGACTCATTAAAAACACTTCGTATAATATTACTCGCAACGACGATAATAAATGGACTATGGTCGAAGCAAACATCGAGTGGCTACTGAATATCGTCATTACCCCACCTTATGTGATGATGGGTAAGGGACATAATTTAAGTAAGATAATAAATAGTGGCATCTTACTCGTGGCTTATATCCCGTCAAAACGAAAAAGTGTGTTAGTCACTCCCCTGCCAGAAAACCCAGGTCATATGATATATAGTCGTCCGGCCTTAAAAAATGTTAGTTTAAATTTGGTTACTGAATTCAATGATTTTGAACAGAACTTGAGTGCAATACCTAATATTTCTACGCTTATTATTGAAGTCTTGTTCGGAGATGCACCGGAAAATGCCTTCGAAATATTGCCAGGTCTATCGATTAAATGGCTAAAGAAACACGAGCGTCGACGTTGCAGTATTATTCATATCGGAGCATCACCCGTTGCAACCCTCGAGGGGGTCCAAATTATTAAAAGTGACAGCATTTCTCTTACTAAGATATTCTTGCCGTATAATATACATTTGATAAGATTGATGTATAGTCTCAAAACAATTAAGCAAGACCAATTAAAGACTATTACATGATCGTAATATACACTATGAGTTTATATCCGGCGCTCGATGAAGCATTTGAAAAGATGGATACTGTTGATGGATTTCGATTACATCAAATAAGCGACATAAAACATCGAATAGAGAAGGATAGGGAGTTGAGACTTGGATTGTATAAAAAGTATCGCAGAGCCATGAATGCTCTGGACGGAGTTGACACCGCGCTTGTAGTATCTGGCAAGGGACTCGGTGTAGCGGGTATCGGTTTACTATCAACTATAATCGCCGCGCCTATCGTGCTCGGCATGGAAATAACCGCTGGAGTTTCGGGACTGGAAGGAATAGCGATAAAATTCATTTCTCGTAGGTTACAAAAGAAAGCATTAAAACACGATAGTATTCGGATACTCGCCGAAGCAAAGTTGAACAGCATTGAGGATCATATTTCGACAGCAATGGCTGATTGTAAGATATCCGAGGATGAGTTTCGTTTAGTGCTGTCAGAACTCACCAAATACAATGAAATGAAGCAGGAGATTCGATCAAAATCTCATAAGACCAGTGGTATTAGCGAAGACGAGAAAATAAAGTTCATAGAACAGGGGAGGCAACAAGCGCGTCAATTATTCCGTGCCAAAACCAAAGAACTGGTTGGAGATTAAAAATAGATTGCTTACTATCGTTTGATCACATTTAGACAAATGCTTACATAAATATACATAATAATGGAGAATTACAACACAACAATTGAAAAAGCTATTAAATGGAGAGAATTACCACAAGGTTTTTATTATATCAGTGATGTCAAACCAACCAAATACGGTTATCAATTGTTTCTTATCAATTTACAAAAAGAGTGTAGTTATATATTCTGGTCTCCTAGTAAAATGAATGAAGAACTTAATAAAAATGTTGAATATCGCTTTATCGATAAAAATAATGAAGAATATTTTTATTACCATTTAGGCTCATCTCAAGCAATGATTGGCCCTAAGTATTGGTGAGCTAGACCCAATTTAACTTAATCTTATGACTATCGTTAAATCGCATAGTCATTTTGGCATAAAAAATGCCACCTGTAGTAGTAGTATAGGTATATGAATCCGGCTCCAGTGGAAGTGAGCCAGAACCATCATTACCTATAAAAAATTGTATCATAGACTCCAGGTGGTGGTGAGCTGGAGCCAATTTAACTTAATCTTATGACTATCGTTGAATCACATCATCATTTACGCATAAAAAAATCCCTCTGTAGTGGTGGTATAGGTATATGAATCCTGCTCCAGTGGAAGTGAGCCAGAACCATCATTACCTATACTACTTTCAGCTAAATAAGACTGAGTGATAAATAGCCAAGACAACCACTTTCAACCAACTCAAAATGATATATGATATCCTACCTTGGAGGCGACGACTGAACACTTCAACAATTCTGAAAAAGATAAAAGATGTTTACCTAAATTGTGAATGAGCTGCCATAGCACAGTATTCATGCCAACATTTGTCTGAAGTAATGAGCCGTGCAACTATGCTATCTTCTTGATTATGTTCATATCTAAGATATCTTTATCCTTGTCAGGTGGCCTTGGCTATATCAGCTAGGATCAGTGTTGAAGAAGAGTGAAATCGCATTGTTGGAGCATACACAACACACATTGTTGGAACATACACAACATACATTGTTGGAACATAAACAACATACATTGTTGGAAGAAACACAACATACATTGTTAGAACAAACACAACATACATTGTTGGAACATAAACAACATACATTGTTGGAACAAACACAACATACATTGTTGGAACAAACATAACATACATTGTTGGAATAACATACATTGTTTGAACATACACAACATACATTGTTTGAACATACACAACATACATTGTTGGAATATACACAAAATACATTGTTTGAACAAACACAACATACATTGTTGGAATATACACAACATACATTGTTGGAATATACACAACATACATTGTTGGAATATACACAACATACATTGTTGGAACATACACAACATACATTGTTGGAATATACACAACATACATTGTTGGAATATACACAACATACCTTGTTGGAATATACACAACGTACATTTTTGGAATATACACAACACCCATTGTTGGAATATACACAACATGCATTGTTGGAATATACACAACACACATTGTTGGAATATACACAACATGCATTGTTGGAATATACACAACATACATTGTTGGAACATACACAACATACATTGTTGGAACAAACACAACATACATTGTTGGAATATACACAACATGCATTCTTGGAATATACACAACATACCTTGTTGGAACATAAACAACATACCTTGTTGGAATATACACAACGTACATTGTTGGAATATACACAACACCCATTGTTGGAATATACACAACATGCATTGTTGGAATATACACAACATACCTTGTTGGAATATACACAACATACCTTGTTGGAATATACACAACATACCTTGTTGGAATATACACAACATGCATTGTTGGAACAGAATAATGTAAAAGGGAACACAACATAATACTTGACATGAAAAGGTGTCAACTTTGGAAATGTAATTATTAGTTTTATCCATGAAATATCTTGGACTTTTCTCTAATGAGTTATGCAACACAAGTTATATATAATGTCGACAAAATGCTGTAAATTGTATGATGATACCACCCACTATTTCAATTGCAAGGTTTGACCCAAATAAGGACATAACAAGGCCAACAATAACACATCGGTGATATGATTGGTCACTTGAAGTCTGCATGAGATAACCCTTCCTGGGGACTTGTTGTTTGACCGGCACTCCAAACACAACTTGTAACTCTTTGGTAAACTTACACACAAAAATATATTCATGCATAGTCATATTTTGTAATAATCATATTTTTGATTGATGGGCATGTAAACATTTTGACAAAGTCATTTTTATTCACTCAAACCATCAGTCTTTTGATAATGAAGAAAACCATGTATTTATTTTCATGACAAGAGAATGTAACTGGTATTTCCATCACTTACGATCTACACATATTACATATAAACAGTTACATACGCTTATTTACATGGTTTAAAAAAATAGACACATGGACCACGAAAACCATGTTAATTGGTCAGCAATAACTAATGTCATGAGTTGTATTCCCTTGTAATCAAATGTTATATTTGTGATGGAAATTCTCTCAGAACTGATCGTATAATAGTAATGTTTGTCCAATCATTATATTCTAGGGAAATATTGCAAAAGGTTGCTGACAGACTGCAACCGGACTTGTCCCTGATTATATGATCCTGAGCATTGTCCTATCGAGGGCTGGTCAAAAAGTTCTTACTAACTTTCAACTATCGGTTATAACAAAGTGAACTAGTCAGTGTAGTATATTGTTTGTGTAGTTCATTGCAAGTATATTTGGTCTGTTGAGGCTATTTGTACATTAGTGACCGCCAATTAAACGTGATAGGGGTCCAAATGGACACAGAAATGGAAAAGAACGAGGACCAAGCAGTCATCATGTGTTTTACTTTGGAGAAATGTACTCCCAAAGAAATTAATGACTGCTTGTCACATGTGTATGGAGATAAGTTCCCTTGCTATGACACTATTAAATGTTTGGCAGCTATGATTAAGGCTGGGAGAACAAGCCTTGATGATGAACCTTGGTCTGGAGGTCCCTTAACTTCCATCAATGAAAATTCAATCAAGGAGGCAGAAAAACTGATACTTTAAGACAGAACTATTACCATTGCTGAACTTGTGGAAGACACAGGTCTAAGCCATGGATCAATTGAAACTATTATTTATGAATATTTTCAGATGAATAAGATATCTACTCGTTGGCTGCCTAAGTTTCTAAATTCTGATCTTGAGGATAAAAGTACTGACATTGCCAGAGAAAATGTAGACCTAATTGAGGAGGCGTTCATCAAATTAAAAAAGAGATTAGTAACGAATGATGAGACATAGTCTACCACTATGATCCCGAGTCAAAACGTCAATCTATGGAATGGCACCATTCCACTTTTCCGGCACGAATGAAATTAAAATCTTTAAGATGAGTGAAGAAGGTTATGGCCACTGTATTCTGGGATGCAAAGAGTATGATCTTTGTTCATCACTTAGAAAGTCAAAAGATGTTTATCAGTGCCTACTATGCTGATTTGCTTCATCGCCTGAGTGATTCTATCAAAGAAATCCGTGATGAATGTTGACTGCTGGATTTCTACCCTTCATGACAATGCCTCTTCTAACATCTTGACTCACAAAGGCTGCTCTGCGACAATGTGGGATCGATGAGCTTCCTCACAGTCTATAGTCGCCAGACCTGGCACCAAGTGATTTCCATCTGTTTCCTGAACTGAAGAACACTTTCATGGAAAGCTCTATGTTGTGAAAATGAACACTTGTGCACTCCACCATTGTCAGCTGATGCCTGATTATCTTATTGTTACTGTATTATAACTCATTTTGATAAACTTACATTTATCAATACAATAGATTTCTATTTTCTGGTATGTTTGATGATCTTTTCTTTAAAAAAACATAAAAAAGCATAAAACATTATAAGCAAACAATTTGTGGTCATCCTGTTCTTGACTTCAAAACATTTAAGATGAATTGATCAATATTTTCGAATTTTAGTGATGGTTTGCAAAGTAACAACTTCAGAAAATTCTAAAAATAGGTTAATTTGAGGACATTATTCAAATTTGAAAAATATAATTATACAGGTGTTGACAGATCTATACATCTAACAACCTAGGTAAGGGTGTAACAATACATTGGACCAGGGGTCCGGAAAATTTAAAATCCCAATCGGACATTTGCATTTAGGCCACGCCCCCTTCAAATAGCGTATTTTAGTACGACTTTTCACACACATTACAAGTTTACGTATTCATAATATGATGAATTATGAATTGTTTCAATTTAAATTGTTTAATTCACCGGACAATTAATAACAAATAATATCATTTTAGATTTACATGGAAAACATACGTTTGTTTCTGTTATAATAACGATCTGTTAACGTAGTGAACGGTCTACATTAATATTCATGAGTTATATTCATGAGTCTGCTCAAGTGTACGCGTTGTAACATTTGGATCGAGACTATTATCTCATATTTGGTTATCACGTGACCTCACGGGAAAAGTTGTTTTTTTATACTAAAGATTTTTTTAAAAACAAGACAGATAATTTAATCACAAATACTAAAATATCGTTGATAGCAATAGTTATTTGAATACTTTTTTCATCTGTACTTAATTATTGACCATAAAAAAATTGGATATCGATCGTCCGAGAAAGCAAAATGGCGGTCAATCAAGATTCAATATACGACTAGCTACTGAAAACAATAAAATCTGCAAATCCTCATTGTATGTCAACCAAGTGAAAGTCATTAGCCACGTCTGAGGTTACGTATCGTAGCATTGTGAGGATAATGAGGTACATCGATGATGCAAGGTAATAATGTACAGTTGTAAACACCTTTCACTCAAATTAACAAGATGTTCTCAGTATTTAATCCTCGATTAATCAGTGTCAACTCAGTTTATTGCCTATTACAGTGATTGACCGATTGGACTATCATGTAGGTACGATGTATTTACAGCAATCAAAACAAACAAAGCTTGTCAGTGTAGTTAATCTTCATTGTGTTGCAACTGCAGACAGAAACTGCTCAGTCCTAACTATTGATCATGTCCGGTCAAAATTTAAGAATGTCCGGACAATACTTTTTAAAATGTCCGGTAAGCAATATTTTAAAACGGACATTTGAGATTCCCAATCGGACATGTCCGGCGCATATGACGGTTTCCGGACCCCTGCATTGGACTATCGATGTATTGCAATAGTGAGTGCCCCAATATCAATTTATTAGTGGGAGTCAAGTTTTGCAATTGATAGTATTGATTTAAGTGTTGAATATCAATAGTTTCAATAGTGTACGTACTTGTTTCACTTCGTAGCACTTTAGTGTTGTCTTTATGAAAAGTTGAAAACGTATTCTGATTGAACAGCGCACAATACAGTGATCCCTCGCTACAATGCTACCTTCAGGGTCCAAATAATTGATGAGCGTTATAGATGATCAGCGTTTTAGCGAAGGTCAAGTCGTAGGTGGTAGATGACCAACAAAACAGTATACATGCTCTGCCTACCAAACACGATCCACGTTGCACGTTTCAAAGTTAAAAAAAAAGATTAAAACAAGTGCAAAAGTGAGCGTGGCTCACTAATACCCCCGACCCGCCAAGTGTGTCAGTAGTTACAAATTAAATAGCTAGGATAGGGTTAACTTAGGGTTTGAAAAATTCAGATTACATGTACTAAAGTGGGGATGAATCCCCTGAATAGTTTAAGAGAAATCGCGCGGACAAAGTTTTCGGACGGATGTTAGGGTTTG